GCACTGCCATTCACTGATAGAAGCCAGCGTCCTAGGAGTCATTTTTGACATAACCTATAAATTCTACCTTCAAACATCACCCCCACATCATCCACTCTCCTCCATCTGCACCCTCCTCACCAGGCTGCCATCAACTGTTACAGAACATGGCCATCTTCTCCTGACRGGTCTCCCAATAGCTGCTACATTCTTCCAGCACATTCTCTACACCATATCAGCAAGACCATCTTAAAACCAAACTCCTATCATGTCAGCTCCCTGCTAAGAGCCATATGTGGTGTATTAGTTTTCTGGGACCAAAAARAGCAAAGTACAAATACACCCTGGTGCTTAAACGGCAGGAATTGGCCTCCCACAGTTCTGGGGGCTGGAGATCCTACATCAAGGAGTCAGCAGTTACGTCCCTTTGGGGGCTGCTCGGGGCTTCTCCCTTTGCTTCTGATGGCCTCAAGCAGTCCTTGGCTCGCASACAGTGATCTCCCTGTGTCTTCACATGACCTTCCCTCTGTGTCCACATTTTTCCTTTCTATAAGGACACTAGCCGTTTTGGATCGGAGACTGCCATACTAATTTCATTTTAACTTGATCCTCTGCAAAGATCCTCCTTTCAAATTAAGGTCACATTCACAGGTTCTGGAGTTAGGACTTCAGTATCTTTTGGAGAGACCAATTCGGCCCATCACACATTACTTCCCACGGTTTTTAGGAGAAAGACCAAACTCCTGCCATGGCCACCTTGGCCCTGTGTGGCCTGGCTAGCCACCTCTCTTGCTTATCGCTGCCCGAGCTGCACCCTCATGGACCTCGTTCTTCCTCTTAAATGCCCGTGGCTGCTTCCAACTCTACCACAACTGTTTCCCTGGGTGCAGAACTGTCTCCTTTCTGTTCCTCATGAACCAGCTTCAATACGCCCTCTCTGTCCTCATCCTAGTCTTCTTGACCTCAGTCCCAGGTCAGGCCAGCCCCCTAGGATCTCTTGACATTCTCCTTGTCCTCTACTATTCGGTAGAATATCATCATTGCAATTAACTATTTCCAGTCTGTGTTCTGCACTAGCCCGCACGCTCTGTGTGCTGGACACCTAATCAGTTCCGTTCTCTCTGCCTTCCTAGGGTCTCACGCGTGTCCTCCGTATGTGTTGATTGTCAACTGTTTGGTGGAGACAGCAGTCACTGCTGAAGTCCTCCTTCAACATGGAGTCAGAGCAGCCTTCACAGTGGAATTAGTCCGAGGCTGGAATCCTGGCACAGTGACTTAACAGCTACACATCTCCTGGGCAGGTCACCCAACTTTCCTAAGCACAGAGTTATTTTAAAATGGGCCTCGTGAGACCTTCTCTAGAATACCCAGCTCAGCTGTCCATCGTGCAGCAGGCTCTTCGTAGAAGTCACTTCTCCTTTTCCGAGACAGAGCTCTGGACTAGGAGTCAGGGCACTAGCTAGGGTCTTGCCACCCGCATTGCACAAGTCATTGTGCCAGGCTGGGAGAGTGTTTCATACAGAGGCTCCTCAGCTCACCACAGTGTTACATCCTAACAAATCTACTATAAGGCAAAACTGTCACTAAGTCAAAAATACATTCAGTCCACCTAACCCACCAAATACTACAGCTTAGGCACACCGTGCACTGTAGGGTGTCGCCTGTTTTGGCATTGTCAACTGGAAGCTGTGACTCCTACTCCTCCTACTGCTGCCAAGAATCACGAGAGGACTGTAGTGCATATTGCTAGCCTGGGAAAAGAGCAAAATCTGAAATTCAAAGGACAGTGTCTACTGAAAGCATGTTGTTTTTACACCATTGTAAAGTTAATAAACCGTAAGTGGAACTATCAAAAGTCAGTGTGGAGGGTGGGCTAAATCCGGGGTCTCAGCCCTAACAGATGCAATGTCTCTCCTTTATAATAAATATTTAGTAACACCCCGTTTACCTTCCAAAATGAAATCTATAGAAAAAGAAACTATCCGCTCACTAAAGTGAAATGCGCAGGCAGACACACACACACACACACACACACACACACACACACTCTGCTTTAACTATAATATAAAGGACAACTGTAGGGATCATAAGGTGGCCTAAAGTCACAATGGATCATGCTGTGGCTACACTGACGGGCTGATGGAGGCTGAGGCCGCCCTGCATGCCAGGACTCCCTAGGCACATCGCAGCTGGGCGTGCAGACTGCCTGGAATCCTAAACTGGTGACTTAGATGTCAATGGCATTGCCAGCAAGGGCTGGCTGTGTTTTCTGAGATGGTGAACATCTCAGTATAGCTCAGAACAAAAAAGATAGGTCCATACGGTAGCTGCAGTCCAGGCAAATTAAGTGAATATCAAAATGGAAAAAAAAAACACCTTTGCATTAGATAAAGAAAAGAATAATATTCCAGGTTTGGATATTTAAAATCAGGTAGCCCCTCCACCCCCCACCACAACTGTGATTTTGTAAGTGTGACACCCAGATCAGCAGCATGAGGATCACCGTGAATTGTTAGAAATGGTGTTTCCTCACCCTGCCACAGACCTGACGAGTCAGGAAACCTGAAGCAAAGCCCAGTTCAAGTTTGAGAAATACTGCTCTAGAGCAGCCTGCGGCTGCATATAGGTTGTGCAGGATGAAGGGAGAGTTTCCTTGTACATTCCAGAATCTGCAGCAGCCTTGACAAATTCCAGTTCACCCCCCAATCACTGCCCCTGATACCCCCACAGGTCCCAAACAGCCCCACCGAGGAGCAGTGGACTAGATGGTCAATGAGGATCCCCTGTTGGGTTTCAGGAGATCCTTGGTCTTGGTGCAGGGCTGGCAGAGAAGGGGGCATGCAAAGGACTGGGCAGGCAGGGGGAGTCACCCAGGATGCCCGTGGTCCTGGTTGACAAAGCTGCTCACCCCTGCAAGGGTCAGCCAGGGGGCTGCTCTTTGCTCCTGATGGCTGGAATGAAGCAGAAAGAGAGGCTCAGCTTCCAAAGGCCCTTTCAAACTGCAGTGAGAGCACTTGGCCATGGGAATAGAACAGTCCCGGCTCTCTGGATGGTGCTGGGTCCACAGACATCTCTCCTCTAGGCAGCCGCAACCATGTGTGGGGTCAGGACGCTACTGAGGACGCAGCCCAGCCATGCCCAGCAGAGGAAGAAGAGCTGCAGCTTGCCTGGGTCTCAACCCCTGAGGCTGGAAGCCAAGTCCCAGAACCCAGGAGAGCCTCGGGCGTGGACACGCTTGCTTGGTCTGCTGGCCAACCCCACRGGCTGCACTGGGATGCCCCGCTTCCGCCCTGCCCCTGTCCCGACCAACAGCCAGACTCTGCTGGCTCCGTCTGCCCAGGAGAACAGGAGGGGCCATAGGCCATGAATTACTCGGGTTGTTTCAGCCCAGGGGTCTGGCAAGTGGGGTCAACCAGGCCAGTAGCATGGCCCCCTTCACTGTGGCCCTGTTGTCACCACACACTGCATTGGCAGAGATGGTCAGTGTTCTCTCTAGTCCGCATGCCCCCTTCTTCCAAGGCACCCGGCCCTTGCTCTCAGGCCAGTGGGGTGGTTAGGCACCAGCCAGCAAGGTGCTAGTAGAAACACGCGTACCGCTTCAGAGTCCCGCTTCTCAGAGCAGCTGGGCCTCCTCCATATTCTCAGTTGCTCTTTCAACCATCAGGATGCAGCTGACAAGGAACTAAACAATGGAAGAGCCCTGCCACCAGCGAGCTGGGTCCCTGAATCACTGTATGGAGGAGAACCACACGCAAACCAGGAATGGTCATCTCAGATTTCCATGTAGAGTCGAAATATTGTGAATTTCTTTTGAAGTTCAAAATTCTATTGTGTTGAGTCATTACGCATCCTGTGGTCTGTCTGCTACTGCAGTCTAGGCTAAGCTAATACAGTCCGTGACACTAGTATATGGTGACACTGGATCATATCTGCAGCACCTGGCAGTGGAGATGGAACTTGCCAAGGCCTCTTTCTACCAGTGGAAAGTGAATCTCTGACACTGATCACACCTTGCACTTGAGCAAAGTGAAGTAAGGCTGGCCATCAGAGGGCTCTGAGCAGGTACGCGGCACCCCTGTTGAAACTTAATCTCCAACATGATCGTGTTAAGAGATGGAGCTTTTAGGACATGATTAAGCCAGGAGGGCCCCAGCCTCCTAAATGGGATCTATGACACTATAGAAAAGGTCAAAAGGGGCATCCTAGTCCCTTTCCCCCTTCTGTTCCTTCTGTCATGAGCATTTGTCCCCTCCAGAGGGTGCAGACATAAGGCAGCAGCATATTGGAAGTAGAGCAAGCCCTCACCAGACACAGAATCTGCCAGCACCCTGATCTTGGACTTCCCAGCCACAGAATCATGAGAAATAAATTACCTAGCCTAAAGCATTTTGTTACAGCAGCAGGAATGAACTAAGACAGTTAGGTACCATCCTCAGCACCCAACCTGTATTAACTCCACATCTCTTCCCCACATTCCCATGAAGTAGAGTACTCATCCCATTTCRCAGATGCATAAATTGAGGCGGAGAGAAATGAAAAGTGTCAGATCTAGTAAGTGGCAGAGGTGGGGCTTGGAGCCAGGCTTACTGGAGTGAGAGCTTTTGCAGCGAGGAGTCAGGAAGGCCCAGGAGCCAAGGGCAGCTCCCAGGTTCCTGGCAGGGTAACTGAGAACTTGTGGGGCCTCCGCTTTCCCTGCTGGCCTGGAATGCAGACAGGCCAGGCTGCAAGCCAGAGGGCTGCCTGACCTCCTGGCTGGGGCAGTACCCAGGGTGGCCCCGTCTCTGTGGGATCCAAGGAGTCTCTGAAGGAAGGAGTGCGTGGACTGCAGACCCCACCCCCCGCATCAGAACCCCCTGCCTGGTGTCCAGTTCTGGCAGTCAGTGGGCAAGCTTTGCACAGGGGGGCAGGCAGGCTGGGGCCAGGCCAGGACACCGAGGGGCCAGAGCCAGCCCCCCATTTCTCCATATTGCAGATGGGGAACCAGCCCCCCACCCTGAATCCCCTTTGGGTGCCCAACTTACATCACTGCTGCGTGGGGGCTATGGAGCCCGGGTTGGGACGCAGGATGCGGGGCCCAGGCTGCAAGGAAGGGCAGGGCTGGGAGTGAGGGGCAGAGGAGGGCAAGGTCGGGCCCTCTGAGCCCATCCTGTGAGCAGAGACCTGCAGCCACCACATGGCCTCAGGCAGGAAAGGAAACAGGAGGCTTCTCAAAATAGAGCAGGAGCGTGCAGCTCGGCTGTATTTCCCAGCTCCCACCATCTGGCCAAGCCGGGCCGGAAGAGAGGCGGGGGAGGGGACAGCCTGCGTGTGGATGGGCTCTCACTGTCAAGTCCAGACAAGAAGGCCGCCCAGCCCTCACCCAGCACATCCCCTGCCAGGCATGGTGTTCCTCCTTCGGACTCTTAAAGCATGACTGTAGGGCAAAGATCAAGGACATCTGACAGCTGGGGAAACCAAGGCTCAGAGAGGTAAAGTGATTTGTCCAAAGTCACACAGCTGGTAAGTGGCAGAGCCGAGTTGAGTCCAGTGCTCAGCCATCCCCGCAGCACCTGGAGGCCTAACAGCAGAGCTGCCGCCTGCACCGTCCCCGGAACCCGCTGTTAGTCTCTGGCCTTGAATCTAACCGTAGACCAGCTCCCCCAACAAAAGCCGAGTTTGTGATTCACCATGAGGACTAGACTGTCACAAGCCTGTGGCTGCCCATGAGGTCTGGCAGGAGGGGGCTCCATCCCTCTGGAGGCCTTGGTGACAGTGCTGGGCCTGCAGGACAGGGGTGGCTTTTACTCCCAACCGCTGCCCCTGCCAGCAACCCTTCCAGCTAGTGTTGCCCTGGGCGCCCTGATGCAGAGGGGGTCAGGAGGTGGCGGAGAGGGCAAATTCTTTGAGGGACACCAGGGGTCAGGGAACAGCATGAAGGGGAGGGGAGGAAAGAAGAGAAAAGGAGAAAAAGGGAGAGAACAGCAAAAGAAGGAAGGAGGAGAGTGGGATGGGAGGAGGACAGGTAAGYGCCACTGCATGGGGGAGGGCGCAGGAATGGAGCGGCCACTGCGCCCAGCTTTCCCACGGGGCAGCCAGCAGCAGAGCCTGGGTCAGGGGCATCCAGAGCCCGTGGGTGCCTGAGGGCAGGCAGGAGGGTTTCCTGGAGGAGGGTCCAGCCACRGGAGTGGAGATGGACAGGAGGCCTGGCTCAGGCCACCCGCCTCTGCAGGCCGCACCCTGGGTGCTTCTCAACAGCTCGCCCTCCCGAGAGCTCTGGGCCCTGGGACACCTGGCTTCTGGGTCTGGGTCGCTCCCGCATTTTCTCAGGTCCTCTGCACCGAGCCTGGGCTGGGGCCGGGACTCGGTGGTAGAGGCCCTGGGTTCCACCCTCAGCACCACATGAAAATAAATCAACAAATAAAGGTATTGTGTCCAACTACAGCTAAAAATATCAAAACAAAACAAACAAACAAACAAACAAAAATAAACAGGCCTGAGAGCAAAGGGGAGATGGGCTCCCCGCCTCCAGAAAGCTGAGCCCCACTCAGCCTGTAACAGGGCCGCCATGGAGCTGGGCCTCCCGGGCCTCCAGAAGTTTCCAGCAACAGTGGGAGCGCGAGACGGCAGGTGGCAGAGAGCATCACTGATGCCTTTCGCTTCTCTCCTCAGTCCTGAGTGGGACCTGGGGCTTCCTGGWAGGGGCCTCGTCCCCACTGTCTCACGGAAGCCTGTGAGCACATCTGAACCCCACCACAGAGCCACACGGCGGGAGGGCGCTCCCCCAGGGCTGCGGGGTGGCTGGGGTGGAGCACCCAGCTGGCATGCGCAAAGCCCTGGGTCCCATCCCAGCCCCGCAAAAGTGAAAAGGCTCTTGAGAAAGAGGCGATGAGTCCTGGTCCGAACTTCCCTAGTTAGTCCTCTGGTAAGTGTGCACTTGGGATCAGCCCGTCTTGCGCTGAGAATTGATGCTGGACACGTTGTCTAATTTCCATGGGCCTTGGATTCCCCCACTGTAAAATGGGAGCAAGAAGGGTCTGTAGCACCTGGAGCGAGGTCAGAGGAGGTGACCTGGGCAACGCACTCGGCAGAGCACGTGGCATTTAGAAAATACCCAGGAACCGTCAGCTGTCGGTATCCATCACAGCTATGGTGCCAGCCGTGTTACAGCACACAACAGGACCTTGCTGCAGGCCCCGTGCTTGGCACCAGAACTCTAAGAGGGAAAATTGCTGGGACCTGTCCCCAGGCCCAGGAGTGCACAGCCAAATGCCCAGAGCAGGCAAGAGCTAAAAGGGAGTTGTCACACTTGAGTATGAATTAGTTAGAAGCAGGGAGGACACCTCCTAGTGAAAGGACCAAGCCCACATGAGAAAGGCCCCAGGGGAACTCTAGCCTGAGGCTAAGGCATGGGGGATTTGTCCATCCTGTTGTGCTTTGTTGGGTGGGGGTGGGAATGCAGATCTGACCCCAGACAGAAACCAGGAAAAACAGTTTCCATGAAAATTTTTGCAGAATCTGGAAATTCCCTGCAGGAGGGAGAGGAAGAGGCTTCAGTTCAAAGTGCCTCAAAGGAAAGAATCCTCTCTGCTTGCCAAGAGCCCATTGTTGTTCTCACCACGGTCCAGCCGAGACCAGTTTCTGCCAGAGTCTCACCCTGCTCAGGCCTTGAACCCCGGCCTGCTAGATTTTCCTGGTTCTGTTCACTTGGGAAGAGACTCGGGTCTATTTTGGGAAGTGGGCCTGGTCTCGTGCTCTGTGCTGACTCCTCCTTCCCCAGATTGGAACACTCACTGACCCCGGCCTGGGTGACCTTTGTGGCTCTGGGGACACAGAGCAAGCCAGGGAGCCGGGCTGAGGAGTGATGGGCCTAGKGGGGGACTTGGTGGACTGGTGACCCAGATTTCACTTCCTGTCCTCTTCCCTCCATTTCCCAGACACCAGCTGCAGCGGACACTGAGCTGGGCCAGCGGGAAACCTTACACTGGCTCTGCACGAGAAGCCTCTCTGGCTCCACTTGTGCTCTGAGTCAGTCACCTTCAGCCCCTTCCCAGTGTCCCACTGGGGACAGAGAACCTGGCACTTTCTAATGGAGTCTGGAAATCAGCACACCCAGTCCAGCCACACCCCATTCCACAGAGGGGCAAACTGAGGCCCAGAATGGGGCAGAGACCTGCTCAGAGCTACACCACCGGTGGGTGGCACAGTCGCAGACATCCAGTTCAGGTCTTCCGACTGGTTCTCAGCCAGTTCAGCAGGTATTTGCTCAATAAATCAATGAATGGTTGGATGGACACAAGGACGGAGCCAGGACGCAGAGTCAGAGGAACGGAGAACCGAGAAGCTGGCTCTCAGGGGCGGCTGGGCCCAGCCCCGCCGTGCCCACTCYGGGCAGTGCTGGGTACTGGGCATTGCTGGGACTGCCTTCTAGTCCAGGACTCGCTTTCTCTGGCTCTTCCTAGAGAGCCKTTCTCTTTCCTCTTCTGGGCTGAGGGAGGTGAGGGAAAGAGTCCRGCATCTAGTTAACAAAAATTCTTTGGGGGCGTTCATGCCCTGAAGATGGAATTTGCACTGCCCTTGGGGGACACGAACACCCAAGGAGCAAATAAAGGAAGAGGTGACGGCCAGCTGGGTCCTGGGCCTGGAAGCAGCAGTGCGGAGGGGCTTGGTGGAGGGAAGGATGCATGAGGGCAGGTCTTCGTGGCCTCTCTGAGCTGAGCCAAGAAAACGAGAAGGAGAGCGCTCAGGACCCTGTGGACAGGGCTTTCCCAGGCAGAAGCAGCAGCAGGTGCAAAGTCCCTTCGGTGAGCAAGAGCTTGGCACTGTCACCAAAGAAAGGCCACCACAGTGCCTGGGGCATGGTGAGGGGCAGGGCAGGCCCCAGGAGAGGTCTGTGAGGCTGGCCAGGCCCGGGCCAGTCCCACAGGGGCAGCTGAGGAGGCCGTGGGAGGAGTGGMGGGCTCTGGGTGAGGGTGACGGGGGTGGGGTGGAGAGGGACACTGGTCAGGACGGGAAAGGACGTCCCCTGCCTGGTGGCAGTGTGGAAGGGAGCTCAGGGTGGCCACACAACTGGGWGTGGCCCCATTGGTGGCTGCAGTGGGTCCGTGTGCCATTTCTGAAGATGGGGGTGGTGGTGGGCTGAAGCCCTGGGTGTGGGCCGAGCTGAGCCTGAGAGGCCCTTAGGCCTGCGGGGGACCCGGGGAGGAAGGCGCTGGGCGCTCACTGACTAACCAGGGCATCACCTGGGCTGGGCCACTTAGGTGCCCATCAGACTGCGCCCTCGGGGCAGGGCTGAGCCTCTTTGCTCCTAGCCCCAATAAAGAATCCAAAGGGCAGAGACCAGAGGGACAGCTCTCCTACAGCTGCAAAGGGCCCACGGAGACAGTGGTCCCGGCCGGTCCCTGGGAGACTCAGCCTCGTGTCTCTGGGTCACGTGTCTCCCTCCTCCCTCCCTCCCTGCCTGCCAGCTTCCTGCCAGGAAACGCCGCCCCCACCGGCCCCTCACCTAGATCACTAACTAGACTCAGCTCTGACTTCGGAGTCCACTTCCTTGCCAGAGCACTTTGCTCCCATGATCTCGGAGTGTCCTTGAAACCAGCCTGGGCGCAGCGGGCAGAGGAGTAGCACTGCTGCTGCCCACAGGAGACAAGGAGAAAGCACCCAGGGGTGGGACCCCGAGAGGACGCGGGCCTCCTGTCACCCTGCTTCACCAGGAAGTGCTAGAGTCTGGCAGCCTCCTGCTCCCGAGGGACATCACATTTAAAATAAATGGCGAGAAGCACCTCAGCAGGAGAAGTCTGCCTGAGTCCCTTCAGGCTGCCGAAACACAATGCCAGGGACCAAGTGGCTCAAAAACAACAGAAACTTGTTTCTCACACTCCGGAGGCTGAGCTGTCTAGGTCAAGGTGCAGCAGACTCCGTGTCTGGTGAGGGCCTGCCGTCTGGTTCACAGATGGCGCCTTCCTGCGGGTGTCCTGGCATGGGGGAAGGGAGGAATTCTCTCCAGCTCCTGAAAGGCACTGATCCCATGCAYGGGGGTCCCACCCCTAACCTAGTCACCACCCCAAGGCCCCACGTCCTATACCTTGGAACTAGATTTCGACATACAAATTCAGAG